ATATTGTGATAAATTGACATGAGGATCTGAATTATATAGTAACCATGCTCGTGAAAGATAATTATGAATTATTTAATCCTCCTAAAGAATTGACTAATCATGATGCCTTATTAAAGGTCAATCTTGATTTATGTATCAAGAGATAAAAGAGGTGTCTTTTATTTTTGATACATTCCTAACATATCTAGGAGCCTATTGAGTCACATGCATAAATTTAAGTATTCACATAATAAAAGAGAAGCAAAGATATTAGAAAAAATTTTCAATATGAAATTTTCCTATTTTGGAAAAGATTTTTTTAAAAAAATGTAAGTTTTCTAAAATGGAAAGTTTTCTATTTTAGAAATCTGTTTTCCAATTTGGAAGTTAGTTCCAAATTTGGAAGTAAATAACCTAAAAAGAAAATTAGTTTCCTAATTTAGTTTTAGGGTAATTTGGAAAATTATTTTCTAATGTGGGACTCCTAAAAATATTTGACCTAATTTATTTGGATAGTCTAAATTAATTAGTAACTAATTAAGCTAAAGGAGTTTAGGCCAATAGGTTTAACTAAAAGTCCGCAAGATATTTTGGGTAGGAGAATAATATGAACCTTATTGGATAAAGATGAATGTTTTAAATGATAAGATTCAAAGACCCACATGCATTACAACTTCTAATCCTCCAAGGACTCATTATGGCCCCCTTCCTTATCCTTGGAGGACAAGGAAGCCTCTCCCCTATAAATATGAGAGAGAGGTACGACAAAGGTAAGATTATTAGAGAGAGAGAGACATGGCATAAAGTAAATAATAATAATAATAATAATAGGGCTATACGGCTTGTTAGGGAAAAGGAGAAAATAGCTTTCTCCCTTCCTAAAAAAAAAAACACCACCTTTTCCCTCTCTCTTAGGGTTATTGCAAAAATCCATAAATTAATTTCTAAAGTAAAAACACTAAACAAGTCGAAACGGTGGAGCTAACACTCTACCAATTTTGAGTGCTTCTTGTGTGGGTGTTTAGACTATGTGGATTATCAATAGAGGTTGGATGCTTGGATGGTTCTTTTCTGCTAAAGTTTAAATTTGCACTACAAGAGGTAATCCAGGTATTTATACTTTAATTCATACATATATGGTTAATTGATTTAATAGTATGATCTTGAAAACTTTAGACGAAGAATTTTTTTTTATTCCATATCTCCATAGGATGCATGATCCTTCAACAAGCACATAGGTGATTAATATTAGAGAATATATCACTAGACATGACTCACCACGAGAATCCATTTGTTATATCTTTGGAAATCTCATGCGATATGAGAACAATTGGTCCTTTGACTTAATGTCATCATGGTTATCTCATTAGAGGATTTATATACTTTGACACTTGTTTTGATGGGCTCGGTCAAGAGTCTGCATGTAGATGATTTGTTGGGTGCACTAAGAATCGATAGAGATAGGTGGATAACTAATATAGGACATGACATTCCTTATGTGCTAAAGGAGTTATAATGTTACATTTTGATAGATGTCTATTCAAGAAATTTATGGCTATAATGGGAGTATACCAACGGAGCATAGTTGGTTTACTCTAGAGGTAAGACATTTAGGAATAAAAAAAACTTATATGATCATAATTAAACGGACTATAAACCAAGTTCGAGATCACATTGTGATAAATTGACATGAGGACTGAATTGTATAGTAACCATACTTGTGAAAGATAATTATAGATTAATTAATCCTCTTAAAGAATTGGAAAGTCATGACGCCTTACTAGAGGCTAAACTTGATTTATGTGCCAAGAGATAGAAGATGTGTCTTTTATTCTTGCTACATTGTCAATATATCTAAAAGCTTATTAAGTCATACGCATAAAGTTTAAATATTTACATAATAAAAGAGAAGCAAAGATTTTGAAAAAGGTTTTCGGTTTTGAAAGTTTCTTATTTTGGAAAGTCATTTTCCTAAAATAGAAAGTTTCCTTTTTGGAAAGTTAGTTTCCTATTCTAGAAATCAGCTTTTTATTTGAAAGTCGAGTTTCAAATTTGAAAGGCAATTACCTAAAAAGAAAATTAGTTTCCTAATTTAGGTTTAAAGTTAATTTGAAAAATTGTTTCCTAACGTGGGCTTCCTAAAATCTCTCGACTCAATTGATTTGAATGGTTCAAATTAATAGGTAATTAATTGGACCAAAAGAGTTTGGACCAATAGGCTTAATTTAAAAGCCTATAAGATTTTTGGTGGGAGGATAAACTTAAGCCTTATTGGATAAAGCTCGGGATTTATAAGAATAAGATAAAAAAAAAAGCCTATATATGTTGCAACTCCTTGTCCTTAGTGGAAAAAGATGTCATCCCTTCATATAAATAAAGGAAGGGAGGTAGTAAGGAAAGGTGAAGCCATACATACACCCAAGTAAAAGAAAATAGAGAAAAAAAAAAAAGAGAAAGCGTTTCTCTCCCCTAAAGCCCGAGTTGTCGTATCCCTCCTTAAAAACTTGAGTTATCATAAAAACCCTAATTGATTTCTTTAGAAAGCAAATCAACTATACAAAAGGATTGGAGCTAGCACTCGCGATTTCTATTGCTTCCTTTATAGGTGTTTAAGCTGCGTGGATTATCAATAGAGGCCGGACACATGGACAGTTCCATTTTCGCTTGATTGTTTTCCGTGCTACAAGAGGTAATATTTCATCCATATTTATATTCATGTTAATATATGATTAGTTGATTCAACGACATGATCTTGAGAATCTTAGATGCGGGGAATTTTTTGTTTTATTACGCACCTCCATAAGATGCATGATCCTTCATATGGTCAATTTTGGAGGTCGTGACAAAGTTGCATCTTAATTTCATCCCTTTGGTCAAATTTTTCGATAGCTACATCGATTTTCGACAAGAGATTCATAGGATGTTGACACGTGGCATTTTAAAAAATATAAAAAAGTAAAAATCTGAAAAAATAAAAAAAAATTCCAAAATGCTCTTTTTTTCTATATCTTTATGTATAGAAATAAATAATTAATTTCGATTGTAAATTTATTTTGCTTTCTCTCAAATTCTACAAAAAAAAAAAAAAATCATATGCATTTTGCTTTTATTCTTATGTTATGAAAAAAATTTCATAAATTCTTTTTCTTTTTTTTATTTGGATTTGAAATAAATTTTCACAATAAATTTCTAAAATAAATTAAAAAAATTTTGCTTCTATTCTTTCCTATACATAAAAAAAAAAAAAATTTGGTTTGAATTTGAGAGAAAGAAAAAAATAATTAACGGGTGAAATTAATTAACTATTTATATACATAATTGTAAAGTTATTTTTATTTTTTATTTTTTCAGATTTTTTAGGATTTTTTTAATTTTTTTCAGAATTTTTTTTGAAAAAATGCCACTTGTCATCATCTTGTAATTATGTCGTCAAAAATTGATAAAGTTATCGGAAAATTTGATCGAAGGGATGAAATTATGACGTAAATTAAGAGTAGAGAAATACAATTATTGAAAAAAATTAATAGATGGATATGATTAAGACAAATAAAATAATAGAAGGACATCATGGATCTTTAACTCTTTGTTACTAATGCTACAAATCATGTAGTATTATAAAGTAAGAAATCTTGACTATGTGTGGATCATTGATTGGTAACGTTATAACAGAAGATCCGAAGTAATAATTTTTTTAAAAAATAAAAAATTTCAATCAAGCTGATAAATAAATAAATAAATCTCAATTAAAAAAATTCAAAGTGTACAAAGTTTAAATATGAGGAAAAAAAGAAAAGAAAAAAGTGATAGATTAAGTGAATAATTTGAAATTATCTCGCTAGAATAGATTTTTATTTTTATTTTTATGCATAGATATTTAATTGGTTAGATATTGCAATTTGCATTACAAAATCAGTGTAGAAAAGGGATAAATAGAAGAAAAAAAATAGAAAAGGGATAAATAGAAGAAAAAGAAAACCAGTGTAGAATTTTATTGCTTTTTGTTGAATTGAAGTTCATTTTCAAGGTTGTATAGTTTTATGGTTTAGTGATATCCAATCACATTTTGCACAACTGAATTCATTTTTTCAATATGATGAAATAGATCAGTTAATTAGGGTTAGAAGATTCGTAATAATTTTATTTCCTACAACGCCATATTGTAATAAGATGTAAATACTTGTAAGAAGGAACTCCCTTTAATCGTCTGCTTACTCAATCCTCTGAATTAAGTTCTAGATAAGGTAAACCAGCAAGAGAAAGGAATATGAAATACATGCATGGTTGCTTTATTTATTGGATGGACAGGTGAGTGAATAAATTAAAAACTAAACGCATAATTCTCATGAAAACTATCTACCGCTGTTTCATGGAATTAAGAAGAAATTCATATTATTGTGCTATTTAGAATGGATGAATCATTAAAATGCACATGCTAGGTTGCTAACTCTAAAATAGATTAATTAAACAAATATCTGTCCCAAATGACAAAATCTGGATGGGGTGGATAATCAGCCTGGTTTGTAGAAACGGAGAGAATTTTCAATCTACAGCTGGAACAAACACTGTTTGAGTCCAGATCTAGCCGAGTCATGAGTTCTATCTACATATGTTTTAATCGCACATCACCTCCTATCAATGCAGTAGTAGCATAAAAGGAAGAATCAATTTGACGTCCCATCTTCCCTACTACCAAAAAAAAAAAAATAATAAAATAAAGAAAACAATAATAAATGTTCTTTCAAATGTCTTTATCGAAACGGATAGAAAGAAAATTCAATGGCCTCCTCAAAAAAGCAGCAAAGAACTTGTCAACAACACTGACAAAACTAACCCACAAAAAAGAAATTAAAGACCCCACCCCCTTCACTTTATTTCCTCGTTGTTTTTCTCTTTGTAAATCCTATAGCAAGTCCTTCTTTTCTTTCTTAATTTGATCAAGTTAAATTGGTAATCATATTTGGAAGGGTTTTCAGATTTCACTTTTCTGCGAATAGTTGGCATTGGTTGGTGAGAGAGAATAAATGGATTACTACAGAACAGCCACAGAAGCTCCAAGGTCATTGTCTAGGACTAGTCAGTGAACAAGACAGATTTCTTTCTTTTTTATAGCAATCCATAAACAGATCAGTGCTTTTTTTTTAAGCATAATTGTGTGTTAAGGACTAGAGGTAGTGAGGCTGTGAGAGAGAAATGGGCATGCACGTGGTTCTTCTTCGGTTGGTGGCAACTGTACATACACCACGTTAGAGAGGGGGGACTTTTTAAAGCAGGGAAAGAGGTAGTATTAAATTGGCTCACCTGCTTCCTTTCCAGCCAAGGCACTGTCAGTGTGAGTCCACCACTATTTCTTCACCATTTTTATTGCTTCACTTCCCTTGTCTCATCCATTTCGTTTTATTTACACAAACCCCACCAAAATGAAACCCCCTAGATTTTTTTTTTTTTTTTTTTTTGTGCCATAAACAAATGGGGTTGTTTTGTGTGCAAATGTGTTCACCAGTTTAAGTCCTTTCTTTAATTTCAGTGATACCAGAAGTTGAAAATGCCTCCTTTACTTATTAGTCATGAGAACCCTTTTGTGTTTCTTAGTGTGAGAGCTACAAGAATTAGTTCCAGTGAAGTGGCAAGGAGACCCAGATCCTGTTTCAGTTGGATCCATCATCAATAATGCCAAAGTGGTAGATCCATTTATCAACATTTATAGAGTGAGCATGAGAAGATTGTATCAATTGTGTCTTTCTCATGCTTTTGTGCTCTTAATTTCTTTCTTCCTTGGATTCACTGCCACTACAGTGTCACCAGCTACCGAGAAGGAGATCTTGCTGCAATTCAAGGGTAACATCAGCAATGACCCTTACAACGGCTTGGCTAATTGGGTCCCAAGTGGCAGTCATTGTGACTACAGTGGTGTGTTTTGCAATCCTCTTGGTTTTGTAGAGAGAATTGTTTTGTGGAACACAAGCTTATCTGGGTTTTTATCACCAGCATTATCAGGTTTGAGATCTTTAAGAATTTTGACATTATTTGGCAATCAATTTAAAGGCAATATCCCACAAGAATATGCAGAATTAAGCACATTGTGGAAAATAAATTTGAGTTCTAATGCCTTATCTGGGTCAATACCAGAATTCATTGGTGATTTGCAAAGCATTAGATTTCTTGATTTGTCAAGGAATGGTTACAGTGGGGAGATTCCATTTGCTTTGTTCAAGTTTTGTTACAAAACCAAGTTTGTTTCTTTTTCTCATAATAGTCTTTCTGGTACAATCCCGGCTTCAATTGCAAATTGTACTAATCTTGAAGGGTTTGATTTGTCTTTCAATAATCTTAGTGGTCAATTGCCTTCTGGAATTTGTGATATTCCTGTATTAGAGTACATGTCTTTGAGGAGCAATGTGCTAACAGGGAGTGTGCTTGAAGAGATTTCAAATTGCCAAAGATTGAGTTTTTTGGATCTTGGCAGCAATATGTTTACTGGGTTGGCTCCATTTGGAATCCTTGGATTGCTAAACTTGAGTTACTTCAATGTATCACATAATGGATTTCAAGGGGAGATTCCGGAGGTGAAAACTTGCAGTGAGAGTCTGGAAGTCTTTGATGCATCAGGTAATGAACTGGATGGTGAAATCCCCTTGGGCATTACAAACTGCAAAAGCCTTGAATTTATCGACTTGGGATTTAACAGGCTGAATGGGAGTATCCCAGTTGGGATTGCCAATTTGGACAGGCTTTTGGTTTTTAAATTGGGCAACAATTCAATACAGGGGACAATCCCTGCAGAATTCGGAAGCATTGAGTGGCTGCTGCTTCTGGATTTGCACAACCTCAATCTTGCTGGTGAAATTCCTAAAGATATAAGCAACTGCAGGTTTCTTCGGGAGCTGTGAGTCCAAACGCTACCTTTATGTTTTAGATTTTATCAGCTTTTCTTTTTTTTAATCCAAACATGACCAAACATTTCTGATTTTTTTGACGCAGGGATGTTTCTGGAAATGCATTAGATGGAGAGATTCCCAACACCCTTGACAATTTGACTTCCCTAGAAGTCCTTGATTTACGCAGAAACCAGCTTGATGGTAGCATACCGGAGACTCTAGGAAGCCTATCAAACCTCAAACTTTTAGACTTGTCACAAAATAACCTTTCTGGGACTATCCCATCTTCTCTTGGAAAATTGGCAAATTTAACATTTTTCAATGTCTCCTCCAACAACCTTTCAGGTCCCATTCCTTCACCAAAAATCCAGGCTTTTGGCGCAGGTGCTTTTCTTAACAATTCTGGGCTCTGCGGTGTCCCTTTGGATAACTCTTGCTCAGGAGGTGGCAATGGCACAGGTAACAAACCAAAGAACAAGGTGCTCGGTAACTCTGTTATTGTGGCAATTGTTGCTGCCGCACTGATCCTTACTGGGGTTTGTGTGGTATCAATCATGAACATCAGGGCACGCAGCAGGAAAAAAGACGATGTGACAACTGTTGTTGAGAGCACACCATTGGGTTCAACAGATTCAAATGTTATAATTGGGAAGCTGGTTCTGTTCAGCAAGACTTTGCCATCAAAGTACGAAGATTGGGAGGCTGGAACCAAAGCTTTGCTAGACAAGGAATGCTTAATAGGCAGTGGATCAATTGGAACAGTTTACAGAACTACTTTTGAAGGCGGGGTTTGTATTGCAGTGAAGAAGCTTGAGACTCTGGGTAGGATCAGAAACCAAGACGAATTTGAGCAAGAAATTGGACGGTTAGGTAATCTTCGACATCCCAATTTGGTTGCATTTCAAGGGTATTACTGGTCTACAACAATGCAGTTAATTTTGTCTGAATTTGTTCCAAATGGTAATCTATATGACAATCTGCATGGGCTTAATTATCCAGGAACCAGTACTGGTGTTGGGAATAGAGAATTGTATTGGCCTAGGAGGTTTCAAATTGCTCTTGGAACAGCGAGAGCGCTTTCTTACCTTCACAATGACTGCAGGCCTCCAATTCTCCATCTCAACATCAAATCCACTAACATACTATTAGATGAAAATTATGAGGCCAAGCTGTCTGATTATGGTTTGGGGAAGTTGCTTCCCATTTTGGACAATTATGGTTTAACTAAATTCCACAATGCAGTAGGGTATGTTGCACCAGAGTTGGCTCAGAGTCTAAGATTGAGTGATAAATGTGATGTGTATAGTTTTGGAGTAATTCTTTTGGAGCTGGTCACTGGGAGGAAACCAGTGGAGAGTCCAACAGCAAATGAGGTGGTGGTTCTGTGTGAATATGTTCGTGAGTTGTTGGAGACTGGCTCTGCTTCAGATTGCTTCGATAGAAGTTTACGAGGGTTTTCAGAAAATGAGTTGATTCAAGTCATGAAGTTAGGAATGATTTGCACATCTGAGGTTACTTCAAGAAGACCAAGCATGGCTGAGGTTGTTCAGGTCCTTGAGTCCATAAGGTCTGCAGTAGAATCATCGTAGTGTTTGAAGTGCAATAGATGGTTTTCTTTGACCACCTGAGAGTTCAATTAACCATGTACTTTCATTCAGAAAAGTGGTAGTCTAGCTAGAAGGTGGGGTGACTTAGTTGTGCAAAGACAAGGGAGTTGCATATTAGAAATCTTTTTTAAAGAGAAAAAAAAAAAAAATAGCAAAAAAAGAAAAATCATTCTTTTCTATTCATTCTTAAATTAAAAGAGTAAATTGTTCCCGACAGTTATTACAATTTGCAATAAAATGATTCATTTATTGTATCTCGTTTGCAAACAGGGAAAACGTCAAATTTTACAGGCGTAAGTTTTTATTGCTGCATCACTCATGACATGGATATAGTAGGGTAGGTATTTAGAGCTATTAGATTGGAATAGCATGAACTCCTGGGACTGGAAATGTGAATTAAGCGATTGCAGTTCAGCCTCCTCCAGGAAGCACTTTGCTCCAGCTCCTGTAAAGTGCAATGAAAAATCACACAACTCTACCAGTCTCCAAATCAAATCCTTCACGGACAGATAAAGTTAAGCTGCAGCAGCAGACAGCAAGTTCCCTCCAGAGGGAATGATTTTAAGCATTCCTCCAGTAACTTTCTCATGAAGTTGTACTGTGGTAACTTTGAACATTTGCACAAGTGTTTGACATGGTACATTGAAAGAATTATGGAAAACAGCATACACGTTGTCTCCATTTACTTCTGCTTATTGTTGGCATCCAAGGTGTGGAAAAAAACTATTACTAACACTCTAGATGAAAGAAACTTCTATGCACTTCTATTGTTTAAGATCATTTATAAATCAGCTTCTTCTACCTTCTCCAGCGTCAATAGAGAAACTGCTTCAAGAGATTACCCTACCAAAAACTCTGTATGGGATTTAATATTTAGAATAAACCAAACGTTTCAACTGCTTGCTTTACAAACACTCAAAATTTTCTGAATTCGGTCCATAACTACAGGAATATCCCTCTCTGTCAAGTTGGCAAGACAGAATTGGAACCATCCGGGTTCAATACAATGACAGCAAGACCCTGGAGTAACATTGAGCTTTGCTGTATTCAACAATTTGTCCCAAAGCTCAAGCTCCCCTTTCTCACTGTAAGAGCTGATGAACTCACTCATGTCAGCCCAACAGGAAAAGCCCCCATTGCTCTTTGTACACTCAATGCCCAATTGCTTCAACCCTGGCACAAATGCAGCATACATTCTTCGGAACCTCTCCCTACTATTCTTAATTGACTTCTGAACAAAGTCGGTATCTGAAAGCATAGAGATAAGCAGATGCTGTGTCGGAGCTGAAACTGATGAGAACCTTGTCAACTTTTTAGCAGCAGCTAGAATATTTTCATTGAAGGAGTAGATTACGCCCACCGCAAAACCTGGAAGAGAGAGATCTTTTGATAGACCATAAACTATATGTACCCTGTCCCGGTCTAGATCATCTGAACCAATAACTTCTGCCATGCTCCCAAACTCCTCACTCCCATGAGTGGACCTTGCAAATATTTCATTGGACACAATATGTATGTTCTTCTCTCTAGCAAAGTCTAGAAGGCTATAAAGTGTTTCACGATTAAGCAGCTTGCCGACAGGATTTGAGGGGTTTGACATTATTATCCCACGGACTTTGAGACCACGTTTCTTTGCAGGTTGAATCCTCGATCAAGTGCAGTTATACTCAAACTGAAGTTGTCAGCGCTGCGGCAAGGAACCGGTATTATCTCCACCCCTGTTCGCCACTTTACATCCCTGTCAAATCTGCACATAATGTTTAGACTTCAGTTCTCTGACAAGTCAATCTTTACCTGAATGAGAACTTCTCAAGCGGAGGATTTCATATTTACCCAGGGTAATATGGTGTTGGCACCAGAAATGCATTTCCAGCATCTGCTAGACAGAAGCTAAGCATTTCAATTGCAGGGTTTCCACCCGCTGTAAGAACCATCTGAGAGGGACTGAAAGAAACTGCATCTTCCATGATCTGGGACATATATCCTGCCATCGCCTGCAGGACAAGCATAATTAAGGAAATGACCAATTGTATTTGAAAGAGATGCTGATCATGTGCAGGAAAGCAGCATTTGCAGACATTGGGTCTCCCATCTTCAACATTTGAGACAAGGAGAATTTTAAACTTCCATTCCTTTCTGTGGTTGTTTAAAAAGGAGTCAAGTAAGATACATGGGCTCCACACTTGAAGCGATTGGAAGGACATGCGTTTTGCATTCACAACTAGGAGCCCACAAGGGGGAAAAAAAGAAAGAAAAGAATGATGTTGCAATTGAGAGCTTGTTAGGGCGCAAACTTGATCTGGATTTAGTCTTGAGGCTGTATCAAAACTTGCCTTCATGCATATTGATTTTACGTACAGTTTAAAGGTTTTCTAAGATTATTATAAATGAAACAACCACTTGAATCTGCAAATATGGTTTATAAAAACACCCAAGAGCTGAAGCCAGAATGACCTTATGACAAATCAATACATCTCAGTTTCCAAAACCAATCAAATCCCATTCTGCATTCGGAAAGAAAAACTATTCTAATTAAGCTGAATGTATGCTTCAACTTTGATAGCAATCTATTACTGACTCAATTAACAGAAAGTGACCAATACTGTAACCCCCGAGAAAATCTTTAATGAGACATATATATATATTGAAATATTCACGTAAATATACATTAAATACGGGTGTAATTGTAGGTGTCATTTTAATTATTTGGTGATGACGGTTAATTAGTAATCATGTGGAAATTTTGAGGCATTTATATGAGAATTTTGGGATGAAGTTTCAAACAAATTAATTAATTATCACTCATTATATATTAAGTACTTGAGACATATTATACAAGAAAAATAAGGATGTGTATAACATTTTGGGAATGTAGAAATATTTTTCTTGAAAATATCGAATGGAAGGGAAGGGAAATTCCAAGTTAAGAGGAGGAATTTATGAAAATCTATGAAGGAAATATGTTAATTACTTGAAGCTAAGTTAATTAGGATATTTAATTAGTCAAATCACTTAGTTAGGACACCTAAGCCATTTCATTAAATGCAAGAGAGCCAACTCACCGTACTTGTACACAAACCCGCCACCTTCACCATGACTCACCAAATTACTTTACACGTTGCCTAATTAATTCAAGCCATATGTATAGCTATTAAATGCAAGGAAAAAAGAAGTGTATATATATATGGAAAGGATGAAATATGATCATTTTCTTTAGCCAAACCATAGCTCACTCAAAGGAAAGAAAGAAAAGGGAGAAAAACCAAGTGTGAGGAAGAGAAAAACGAAAAAGAAAGAGAGAAAAGAGAGGAAGGAAAGAGAGAAAGGAAAAGAAAGGAAAAAGGGAAGAAAAGCTAAAGGAACTTAACCGCATCCAAACTAGGTAAGTGGGTTTTTGTTTATGTCATTTATTTGATCCTTCCATGAAAATTAATGTACTTGCTTAAGCTTCCAATTATATTGTGTTATATTGATGTGTTGGCTTTGTTCTTGGTTGGTATAGCATTGTTTGTTATTGTGGAATATCTATGTAAGTAAGTTTCTTCGATGCTTCATGCCATTCAATTGATGTGATTGTAATTGATTAAGCTTGTGTATAGGTTATGAGGTGTTTGTTGGCTTAGTTGTGTTGGTTAGGTTGTGTGGTTGATTAAACATGATGAGCGAACTTGGAACTTGTCTAGGCATGAATAAAATGGAGTAGGAAGGAAAGAAAAATGAAATTTTAGGGTTTTCTTGAGCAAACATGAAGTCGGAGAGTTACACGGCCTCCCACACGAGTGTGTCTTTTCCCATGTAATTAAGAAATGCATTTTTTTGAAGTCAAAGAGTTACACGGCCTCCCACATGGGCATGTCTTTTCTCATGTAATGAATAAATGTGTTTTTCTTCGAGTCGAGAGTTACACGGCCTCCCACATGAGCGTGTCCTTACCCGTGTAATAAAGAAATATGTTTTTCTTCGAGACAAATAGTTACACGGCCTTACACGCGAGCGTGTCCTTCTCGTGTAATGAAGAAATGTGTTTTCTTTAAGTCGGAGAGTTACATGGCTTCTTACACGGGTGTGTCCCCGCCTATGTAAGTCACCGATCACTTAAAAGTCACCCTTTTGTTCCATACTTGTTCGGTTTCCATTTCTTTCACCAAGATAACATAATAAATGATTAATTAGGTTCAAAAAGATAGAAAATGAAAGTAGAAAAGTATATTTTAATATAATTGAAATTTGATGTAAATATTAAGAATTATGCAATTCAAGTGTATGATGATTTAACTAAAATTACTAAAGGAAAGAAAAATAAAGTATTAACACACGTAATTAGACCCATCACTCAACTAATACCATATGTTGCTATTTCGTTCTAACGAAAAGAACATGATGATAAGGGGTATGAGTATGCATGATCATGTATGGGTTGGATATGTTTAATATGGTACACATAACATCACGTGCATCATGTGCATTGTGGGGCAAATAGAGAAAAGTCAATTGAATGAGAATTGGTTTACATGATTAGGTTTGGTAACCTAACATGAAAAATGGGTATTAGCGAGTCCAACAATGTGCGTACCCTAAGTCTGTATGCTCGGATCGTTAGGCGATGTATTCCGCTAACGGTGGCTACAACGAGGGATAATTCCGTTGTAGCAGAATGTGATTTGATAATCACCTGGATTAAAAAATAGAGTAGACTAGCTAATACCCGGGGTACCTAGAATTAAAATTGATAAGTATTGTGAAAACATAGAAAAGCATTGCATATTACGTGAATCACCCCTTACAGAGCTTCGGCTCACCTCATCGTTATTTTTTTATGATGTGACGGGAAAAGGACAAAATAGTAAGGATGCGGTGGCTCCTTCTAAGAGGCTCATGTGTAACACGAAAGTTGAAATAAGTTTTTTACGTAATTTGAGGGTATGGAATCTATACGAAATCAACCGGTAATTGTAATATTTTGTTACTGTAATTAGTTATGCCATGTAAAATTTTCTATATGCGGTTTTGTTATGTAAGGTCTTGTTAATTTCTTAAGTACACCGTACGAGACATGATTAGGCTTTAGGTAGTGTCGGCATGACACGTCTTGCCTAGTCACTTCTATTTGGATAATAGACAGTGGATTGAGGTCGGGGCGTCACAAGGTGGTATCGGAGCTATGGTTTAGATAACCGGGTAGAATCCCATGTGTTACATGAGCCTAAGGATCGGGGTGTTATTCGATAAAAAAATTTATAATTATCATTTTCAATTTTGATTCTTTGATTAAAATGTATGATTATTATTATGTGTTTAGATGTTGATGTATGATTATGCTTGACAATATTGATAAGAGTCAATATTGGTGTTGTAGATGCCGTATCTATTTCGTACACCTTGTGTTGCTAGGACACATTAGCGGCGTGGCACTCTAGCCATTTATCGGGCGGAGCTAAACAACTCGTTTATGACTCCGGATCGGGACATAGTAACCCACGTTACTTTGGTGCATGATTACTGCAACGAATAATCTTCGCCGATACTTCTATTTGGATAATAGACGAGTGGATCGAGGTCGGGGCGTCACAAGGTGGTATCAAAGCTATGGTTTAGATAATCGGGTAGAATCCCATGTGTTACATGAGCCTAAGGATCGGGGTGCTTATTCGATAAAAAAAATTTATAATTATCATTTTCAATTTTGATTTTTTGATTCAAATGTATGATTATTATTATGTGTTTAGATGTTGATGTATGATTATACTTGACAATATTGATAAGAGTCAATATTGGTGTTGTAGATGTCGTATCTATTTCGTACACCTTGTGTTGCTAGGACACATTAGCGGCGTGGCACTCTAGCCATTTGCGGGCGAGCTAAACAACTTGTTTATGACTCCGGATCGGGACATAGTAACCCACGTTACTTTGGTGCATAATTACTGCAACGAATAATCTTCGCCGATACTTCCTTCCAGCGATGCACGAAGCATGGACTTTACGAGGTTGACCTTACGTCGGACACCGACACCGAGAGATCGACGGCTATTAAACGAGGTTTAGGAAGGTCGACGGATAGGTATTGCTATGGGAATTTGGTCCGAGCCTTCCTTCCGATCCAGATTAGGCGGACACTGTACTCGATTAATGTACAACTGGGGTCTACCGTTACCTCTTGCATGAGAGATAGTACATCATGCCTTAGACGACGTTATTGATCGGTGGAGGGTCGAGTATTATTTCCCCTAACGTGTCCGATATATAGGTTATTAAGGACCCTACCACACGACATGGTATCTTTTGTGTGTTCCGGGATGTAAATAAGAGTGTTTCTTATTGTAAATATAACACAAAAACCTTCGAAAGGTAAATATGTGTACGAAATGCTTACTATGTATAAAAACATATAATTTTGTACGAACATGAATGATTTATATTAAATGTTAGAGCTGGTACCAAAGCCGATTTGAACTTAATGTGTGTGTAAAGATAAACCATGCCGCCGGAAAGAACCCCCACACGAGCGGAAGGTGAAAGGACCTCCGATGTTAATAACTTGAATCAACAAGAAACGTTGAACCAAATGATGAAAATCATGCGGCGAGCAATAACAAACACTACAACAACAACAACAAGTCCATGCCGAACGGATGAGGTAGCTTTTAGCTACACAACAACCACCTCCACCCCGACACATGAATGATGCGGTAGAAAGATTTCGTAAAATGAACCCTCGAAAGTTTGTCGGTGGAGTGAACTCGATGATAGGCGAGGAGTAGATTAAGTCTCCGGAGGCAATATTCGAATACCTACGGTTTGCTAACCGGGAGTGAGTTTCGTGCGCGATTTTTATACTAACTAAGGATGCCCACACGTGGTGGGAGAGTGCACGGCCGATAGTAGATGTGCCTACCTTAACTTGGAAAGGATTTAAGGAGGTTTTTTATAATAAGTACTTCACCTCGGATGTGAAGGCTAAAAAGATACAAGACTTCCTAGAATTAAAGCAAGATGGGATATCCGTAGGTTAATATATACGGAGATTTGAGCAAGGATGTTGATTCGTCTCATTTATTGCGGGGGATGACAACTTGAAGAAGAATCAATTTTTCACGGGGCTAAGTCTAAGAGTACGAAGCATGGTATGGATGTCCGTCGTCAACACTTTTCTAGAAATGGTAGATAAAGCTATGTTGGCGAGATGAGGATCGGAGGGAAATCGCAAAGGAAGTCCAATAGAGGAGACAATCATTTCAACCCGGAGCCTCTTCCTCCGGACCATAAAGACGAGTTTCGTCTAGAAATTTCAACTAAATTGGTGGTCCGGGAAATGCACGAGCTACTTAGACCATCACCT